TATTTTGATGCTCAAATGGCACAAACGATTTCGTTTTCATTGTTGTTTGGGCTAAAAAATGTTATGGATTTGGGTTTAACAAATGAAAAGCCCAAATATATTTTAGGAAGGAAAATTGGTAAAAATAACAAAAAAAAAAATTCTAATCTAAAATCTAATCAAAAACTTCACATCCAACCAACGGTGATTTTGCCACATACCCTATTTTACTTATTTTTTAATTAACCTTTTTTTTTTGTTATACACGTGATGTCAAATTAAAAAAAAAGAAGTTTTATTGTGATTTTGATCTTCGTCTTTGTTCTATATGCAGGCTTTTGTCTTCGCTCCTCAGTTCCGACCAATCTGCCACGATTGTGTCTTGTCTGAGACAAGACTCCACAAGACGTGAGATTCTCTATCGCCCACAATTTTCTATATCCCTTCAAGGTTAGATATGCTTTAGATTTGTTTTTCTTTTTCTTTTTGAGTTTGGATGCGCGCAAGGTGTTTGTTCATTTGCCTAAACGAGTTTGCTGCTTAATTTTTTTTTATAGAAATGATATACTTCTCTTTAGTTATGCTCCTCATTTAGAATTCGTGAGTTTTTTCTTCTTTTGCCAATCATTGTCTATCTTTGGTGCAATCTGACTCCAATCAGAAGGATCTGAGTGAGATTTTGTGTTTATATGTGGAAAAGACGAAAGGAGGAAACATTAGTGTTTTATGTATGGCGGCTATAACTAGGAGTTTTCTATAGGGTTTTTGATTTTCTCAAAGTTCTTTTTTTTTGTTTTGAAGTGCTGAATTTGTTTTTGTTTCTTAACGACTTAGAGGAGGAAGTTTTATGCTTATCAAATTGAGGGTTCTTTTTGTTTCAATGCAGAGACTGATTGACATATGAATGGCGTCGAGGCACTTAGGCAATAAGGTACTTTTTCTACTCTATTTAGTGAATTTCATCAAACTTGCTTTGATGCTGCGTAGCTTTAGCTTCCATTTCATACTATTTGCACTGTTATAGTCGTCAGCCTATCGAACAGTTTTTGTTTTCTCTGTGGAAATTGTTGTAGTTATGTTCGTTGGTTTGGTTTAAAGTTGTTAGGATAATTGTTGGATTCTTGGTTCTCATCTTGTTTATTTCTATAAATTGCGTTTAGACCTGTAACATGGATTTCAGAATTTTTCTGCCATTGTTTTTCCTAGTGAAGCACATTTGCATTTGCATGATTATGATTAGATCATTAGACGTACTAGTATTTGTGTTTATCCATGAGGAAATTTGAAGCTATTTTATCGGTTCGTTTTCTAAGTTATTCATATTCCAAATTGTTGGTTGGAAACAAAGCGAAATATTATGAAGTGTTTGTTTCATCTGGCATATACAAGTCTGCATTTTTGTGGAGTGTGTTTGGTTTGGTGAGTAGGTTTATTCGAAATGTTGTGCATATGCATATAGCATTTCGGTCTCATTTTTATCAGCATTTCACATATGTTTACAGATTCTTAATTAACTTAACGTATTGGCAGGGCACTCAAGCCTTTTTAAAGAGAGGTTTGATTCTTCCACGAATAGCAGCAGCTACACAGAGGCAGATTTCCTCTACGGTTTTAAAAAGCCCTTCAGAAAGTGTCTCCTTTTCATTTGCTCGGTACTTAAATGGTAAGCGTAAAAGGGTGTTCACTCACAGTTGGTTACATGATTTCTTCTACGATTGAAGAAAATGGATTTTTAAAAAACGATTTTCTCACCCAATTAGTCATGTTTAGGGTTTGGATTTGGCTCACTATCAAATTGGTCTTCTAGTCGTGGTTCGGTTCCAGTCGAAACATCCATAAGGTAAACCATTCGCCTACACT